TAATATTTTGCGGTTTTGCATAAGAAATTTATATAATTACGTTATAATCTCCATAGAAACAGTGTTAACCAATGTTATTTTTATATATAAAAAAATCTTCTAGTGAAACTTATAAAACACGTAACAAAAACCCTGTGGTTTCAATGAAATGCGTAATTATGATAAGTACTTAAACGTGTAAAAATAACTTTATTTTAGGAATCTCGATCATAAAATATAGAATAAAATTGAAATAAATTCTTATTTTAAAATTGTATGATTGTAGTTTTATTACTTCTGCATTGACCGAAGAGTAAGAGTGTTGTCAAAGACCCTGCTTTACCAAAGTATATTGCTAAACATAGGGCTACCTCGTACTCGTAGATCGCCTCACAGGGCGGATATTTGCTAAAACACTTTCGGTCAAATCACCTATCAAACAAAAAATAAACCAAATCTGAATCTGAATCAGTTCATCATAAACATGATATAAATACGCATGATAAACATTTAATACACCTCTTTTTCTTTAAAGGTTTAAACAAAACATAAAGTCGAGTTGAGAACCTACTCTTTTTTTGAAATTTTTTTTTACTTCGGATAAAACGGGGTCTCGACATAAGGAAAGATAAATAAGGTTTAGTGTTTTTTTTTTCATTTTGCGTTACGAAACCCTGAGAGTTGATATTTTAAAATGGAAAACGCACAAACAGAAGAGGGTTTTATCTATTTGAGTAGTATTTCAGTCAGAATTTTTAATTTTTTCACTATAAATTAACAAAACAATCCGTTGCTCTTTACAGAACAGGAAAAATGCACCTTCATTTGCAAGTTTCGCGAAATTCCAGCTTAGATGCTCATGTAATAGAGTTATTTACGCTAAACTCTAACTCTAAAATGTTAACTCTTTAATAAATGCCTTCAGTAAGATGTTAGGGTATTGGAATTAATGTTTTAGAAACAAACATTAACTTAAACACATTTTGATGAGTTTACAATTTTACTAATAATAGTTCTTGACAAACTAGATAGAACGTGGGCTTATAGTTGTTTTCTTAGTTGTGGCTCGCTCGCCTGCACTAATGCATCCTTTCCTTTCTTATCTATCCACTCCAGTTCGGTGCGCGGTTCAACTTTTTATCCCTCATGATAAAGTAACATTAATTTGAACCTTCAGGAACATAAGTGCTAACTACGTTAACAACTACGCTAACGTTAGAATAGTGAATGTCCATATTATGTTTTAAGTAAAAGGTTTGACTGATGTCAAAATAAATATAGTCATTGTCATCCTGTTTTTGATAAGTTATGAAATAAATTAAAAAATATTTTTGTAGTTATACAATATTGAACTCCTTTAGTAATTTTCATCCTTTCTTCCATATAATCAAAAATTATAAGTAAAAAAACTTATGCTCGTAAGTCACGCAGATTTTGAAATCATTTCAAAATGTTTCCTTTCAAAAAACAAGGTTTGGTATTTATTTTATGAAAAACATTATTTGCGCCACTATAGTTTAATAAAGAGAAGGCAAATAACATTTTCCATGAAATATTTAATCGCTCGCTGTAAATAATTTAACACGCAAATAGTTTTTGAAAAGAGTTTGAAACCCACTGACACCGCTGGAATTGATATTTCAGGGATTTCGCATCGGATGGAAATCCAACCATCACACATCAAAAAGAGCGGCGCTAATTTGGACTGTGTAGTAATAGGTATATAGACAGTTACCTCAATTACATAACTCATACTATCAACTAATAAATTATGTTAATCTTACACTATATGTGTTATATTATGAAATAAATTAAATTAAAATCTAATTGATAGTACAAATATATATTAAAGTTATTACACTATCACTAACCGTGGTAGCTTAGGGGCAATGTGCTCGCTGTTAATTTCACAGTACGCGAGCAACCCGGGTTCAGTCCTCGCCGGCACCTATGAAATAACAAATTGCAATTATAAATGCTGATTTACTACGTACTTGGGAGGGAAGGAAAGCATAGTGAGGAAACCGGCATGTCTAAAAAATAAGAAAAAAAATATTTTCGAAGACATGTGAAGTTCGCCAACACGCATTAGGACAGCACGGCGAGCACTTCCTAGCCCTAAAACCGTGTCAGAAATGAGAGGAGGCCAGTGCCCAACCTTGGGACGTATATAGGCTGTAACTTTAACTATCACCACTTAAGTAATGGCCTTCATCATATTTGCGTCCAAATTACTTATTATCATTATTCTAAAATTAAGAAGAGGAAAATAATAATGGCGATGTAAAGCCCATCGAGGCCATTAATAACTAATCATGAAGGATTCAGTTGAAAAATCCCGCACCGGCGAGAGTAATTTGAGTTTTGGAAACAAAATTTTTACTGTATATAACAATAATTCGTTCATGTTTTTTTTTTTTTTGAAAAAGATTAATTTTTAAATTAAATATATTTTCTTTATCAGCCTATAAAAGTCCAAGGAAAGCACAGTAAAATGAAGGTTTGCCTTAATCAGTCACTTTTAGCATCTTTGATTCTGCTGCCTCTCGCCGGTCTGGTAATTTTATGGATCCTTGATATTTCCAGAGTCGCTTTTTACGATACCCAAGGAAATAAATTTGGTTTTGGATTCCCTTGCACCGTCACCACATCACCGTTACATAAATTTCTAATTGATCTATACGTAACACTATTTGGTGTTTAAAATTGCTTTTTATACACCGAACTTACTTTCGTGTCTTGATTTATTATAACTTTGAATTGTTTACGTATCTCTAAGGTGTACATTACACGCTCATGCAGGCTGTCAGTTTTACAACAATCACGGTTGTGATTGACGAATAACCTACCGGGTAATGCAGTAATTGACGCCTGCATGAGCGCGTAATGTGCGCCTTCCGTTTTTTATCTATCATAATTGATGGAATTGATTGACTCCTGCATGAGCGTGTAATGTACGCCTAAGGGAGTCATGCTCCTGTTGCTGCCGGAAATATTTCCCTAAATGCTTCTGCAGTAATAACGACGCGAGTGGGTTTACACTCAGCCTTCATACTTCTATATTCATCTACTCGCAATAATGACTGACGTCGAGTTTTTTGGTTTGATAGCCTTATGTCTACTCAGTATTATAGTAGTAGCTACTACATGCATTATATGGTTTTTATCATGAGGATCTCATATAACCCGCTTAATTTCATAAAATTCTAAAATTTTTATTGTTTTATCATTACTAAATATCATTTAAAAACAGGGCAGATTAATAAACGAATTGCCGTTTTTAAACGTAGCACGTTCTTTCTCGGTCAAACTTCGGCTGCAAGTGAGCGAGAATGTGACACACTGTGACACATGAAACACTCGCTTCCGCTCGCGCTGCAAGTCCTTTAACTTCCATGCGAAAAACTGACAATCGTAGGAGCGTGGGGCAGTGGCAGCGGCATGGGCAGTGAAAGCGCGAGTAGCCTGTTTACATACACGCGCTGCCCACTTCCCTGCTCACTTCCCTGCCCATCAAGGCTGAGTGTAAATGGGATATTACAGTTGTTCATAGGTGAGCCGAACGCTCGTTTGTCACCTCTCTATAAAAGATGTGGCAATGCACCTGTAGTCTTCTTCATTAAAAGTTGGTTGCAGGTGTCCATATGCTGCCGTACCATTCACCATCAGAATGACTGTAAGCTCGCTTGTCACTTTAATTTTATAAACACAAATACACTGAACATAATTAACTAGGCGCTCAAGCCATGGGCAACAGTTCTTCGATACCCTGAAATTAAAAAATTGCGGCTTTCAATCTGTCTGCAATGCATGGCAATTATTTCAATTAACCCTATGAGATGATCTTTGAGGGAGTTCTAAGTATAGTAGAAGATTTTTAAACGGCCTTTATGATGAACGAATGAATTGGTTTCGTCTGGGATTTGACTCCAGGACTAACGGCAAAGTAGGTAAACAACGAGACTCGCATAAAATCAAAAACAGACCATAAACTGGCTTATGCATGATAATTGATAACAAAAGAATTCTTCTTTTTTAATTTTCATCATCCCTTAAACATGTCGTATGGGCTAGATTGATCTCTCCGTGGCAAATCTTTTTCTAGATGGTAGGACTCTACTTTTTCCTAGGATTGCTGGCTGTGTGGCCATCCGTCTTTTTCATTTCTTTTTGATTCTTAGAACAAATGGAGACATCTATAGGTTCAGGCATCCACTAATCATCAGATGAACTATGTGCACCTATATATATATATATACAATAAAGTTGCAATAGCGTCGCAGCATAGAAGCTCAAACGCGATACGGCAGCTATCGTGGCGCGACATTAGCGCCACTTCTATGACGATTAGCTTAGTATATCTTTGTTCGAATACGTTTTCGTACATTTTCATATCGTATTGTGTATAACAACGTTAGCAAGGTGGCGTGCATAACGTGACGCTGCTGTTATATATATAAACGACAATGAAGATTTTATGTGAATATATTTTGCAGCTTTACACATATTTTATTTATAGCTTATAGTTTTAACTTTAATTCATGTTTCAAACATAAATAATGTTCCTCGCATTATGTTTTATTTTGCGTAAACTAATAAGTTCACAAATGAGCGACGTAGAAGAATAACCATTTATGATTTACGTTTATGAATTATGAATGTTTATGTATTTATTTATATGAATGAATGTTTTTAAAGAAAGTTTCATTTACAAAAGTTTTTCCTGATCGAAACATTTCCTCAGTTGACAATACTTCACAAACGTAGGCAGCAAAATAACAACTGTTACTTAAGGTGTTTCCTCATGGAGAAGAACAGGGAAAAGAATATGCCTTTGCATTTTTTATTCCTAGACCTGTAGAAGGCCTTTGACTGTGTTCCTAGGGAGATGATCTGGAGGTCGTTGCGGTCGAAGTTCGTACCAGAGACCTACGTGGAAATCGTACGTGACATGTACCGCAACTCCGACTCAATAGTCAACCGCTGTTGGTGATACCACACCCTTCCCCATAACCGTAGGCATGCATCAGGGCTCCGTCTTAAGCCCCTATCTCTTCAGTGTGATATTAGACGAACTGTCAGCCACCGTACAGAAACTACCGCCGCCTTGGCTGCTTATGTACGCTGATGATATCGCACTGGTAGATGGGGACAAAGGACCGCTCACCAGACGCGTGCACGCATGGAGGGAGGCGCTTGAGAACGGCGGACTGAAGCTAAACGTGGCGAAGACGGAGTATATGGCCTGCAACAGCACAGATCTTACGTCTCTCCGTATAGGCGACGACACCGTCGAACGCACGGACAACTTCAGGTACCTCGGATCTGTGCTTGATGCGTCCGGGGACATCGATCGCGTCATCAAGGCCGTACCGGCCGGCGAAATGGCGTGAAGTGACGGGTGTCATTTGTGACCCCAAAATGCCGGTCAAGCTGAAGGGACAGGTCAGACCATCATAAGGCCTGTCCTTACATACGGCAGTGAGGCGTGGTCAGTGCTGGAGCGACACCGGCAGTTGTTGCATGTCACGAAGATGAACATGCTGCGGTGGATGTGTGGCGTCACACGGAAACACCATGTACGGAATACATACATCTGCGGCAGCCTCCATGTCCGTGACATTGCTGACAAGCTGCAGGAAAGTCGCCTCCGCTGGTACGGCCACGTCTTACGACGACCGGCAAGCTACGTGGGAAACAAATGCCTGGACATGACCCTACCTGGTACCAGGAGTAGAGGACGGTCCAAGAAACGCTGGCTTGATGTCGTGCAGGATGACATGCGCGCCAATGGCCTAGTTGCGAGGGACGCCGAAGACCGGGCAAAGTGGAGGAGGAAGTGTAGGTAAGCGGACCCTGGGTTCTCCTGCGTTGGGCGGGATGAGCAACCGGGATATACGCTTGGTAGAAGAAGAAGAAGAATTAGGTATTACCCCTAGTGAACGACCTTGAGCGTTCGGTCCTATACAATCCACGCGCACTCGCTACAATATATCGCGTAAGAAATACGCCCAAATTTTGGAATTATTTCCATAAAAAAAGAAAATCGAATTTAAGAAATTAAATAAAACGTGAATAATATCGATTTTTAAATTATCTATCCATTAGTGTAATCAATAGAGTTCGTTTAAAATAAATCAATAATTTTAGTCATTTCTTAAATATTCATTTTAAATGTATTTATAACACATAAAAACAAATTAGAACGTGGAATATGATGATAGGATATCGAACATTAATAATATGCTTTTAGATGTAATTTATTTCTCATAACTAATGAGATAATAGTCTCTAAAAAACGCACTATCACAAGGTTTTGGTCGGGGTATCGTCTTTTCCTATACCAAATTAAGAAAGTATCCAGTGTTGTAGCTGGTAATGGATCATGTCTGGAGGCCATAAACTAATTCCCATTAAGTAGGAAACATTTTCATACCCATAATTTCGTACCAGCGGAGGCGACTTTCCTGCAGCTTGTCAGCAATGTAACGGACATGGAGGCTGCTGCGGATGTATGTATTCCGTACATGATGTTTCCGCGTGACGCCACACATCCACCGCAGCATGTTCATCTTCGTGACATGCAACAACTGCCGGTGTCGCTCCAGCACCGACCACGCCTCACTGCCGTACGTAAGGACAGGCCTTAAGATGGTCTTATAGACCTGTTCCTTCAGCCTGACCGGCATTTTGAGGTCACAAATGACACCCGTCACCTCGCGCCATTTCGCCCAGGCTGCTGATATACGGGCCTTGATGACGCGATCGATGTCCCCGGACGCATCAAGCACAGATCCGAGGTACCTGAAGTTGTCCGTGCGCTCGACGGTGTCGTCGCCTATACGGAGAGACTTCAGATCTGTGCAGTTGCAGGCCATATACTCACACACAAAAAAGGCCAATGAAAAGTTTTTATAGTCGTTATAGTCGTTAGATGTTGAAAACAAGAATATTAACAATGCTATAAACATTACTAATATTACCCTTAACCACTCGTGGTAAGCTTAAATAGCTTGTGTTACGAGTGGTTCACGCCAGTAGTCGAATGGTGTATTCGAACCCACGACCTTTTTGAGTTCGCGGTTCGCGCCCTGCCATTAGGCTACTGTCGCTTTATTTCTTTTAATTAAATAGGTAAAACTTTATGAGTGGTTCCATTATAAATAAAAAATACTGTTTAAGGTTGAAAAATAGCGTATGAAGTTTATCAACTATTAGTTTATTTGTTTATAATATTCCTTAATCCACCCACAAGGGTCTTTTAATAACGTTAATAAAAGCCGACTTCAAAGAACCAAAAAAAATATAATTTTACATAATAGCTTATGAAGTCAGAGCACTGCATTTCTATCATAAGAAATTTAAAATTAAGTATCTTTCACCTTATAATTTCTGCATTATAAAATTAAATCACAATGTTATTTGTTTGAAAATATTAGCATCTACTGAATATTTCAAATTTGAACGTATAACGCGCAAAAGCTCTTAAATATGCATGAAGAGCTTTACACGCGGGAGCTAATACATAATACAATGTAAACACTATACACGTGTTGTATAGAAAAGTCAGTTAACTACATCAACTCTACTAAATTTTAAATATATTCAAATTAAAACAAATCTTGTGAAAGTATTTTAAATTTGTGGAAATTTTATTGATTAAAACTAATATTACGGATTTTATCGACGGCGCTTCGAGTGTTTGACACGATCTAAGAACGTTTTATCATCTTTGGTAAGTTTGCTATTTAATATTCCACGAAACCATAAAAATTAATAAAATACTTATTTAGAAACATGTTTTTAGGATGGATTCCAATGAATATCTGTAGTATGATTTAACTTAAGATAGATAGAACTTAAGATTGCGGTTGCAGATAGTTGCGATCGTACCGTTAAGCGTTACTTATTTCAGCACTTAGGGTGATATTTTTGGACAGATAAAGCTTATACTAACTGAATATTTATATTTTTCAAGGTGCCTCTGTTGAGACTTTTGTGTTTATCTTATTTATTATAAACTTATTCCTATATCACTTATACGATAGACAGTTGCATCGGATCTACGAAATTTGAAGTTTGCACAGAATAAAGTTTTCGTTTAAATTTTTTATTTTAAAACTACTAATGAATTAACAGTTTCATCTAATTGTAAGTGGTCGCTGAAGCCTATTGCCTGCAACAAACTTCTTACAAAAAAGGACACAGTTGTCATCTTTGAGTAATGAGATGCAAAGGCTCATGGGCTTTGATAATAATGCTTTATTACCCTTCGAATCGCATAATAACAGTGGTGCTCTCTCTGCTCTAATCAGTGTGACACGTAGATCAATAAAAGCGATCTAGGTGCGACTCGAAAGGTCCACACGACTAACTTCCCAGTGGAAAGAATAAAAAAAATATATGTTTTAATATTTTATATAATTTTTCATTCGGCACAAAAAACAACTCGACCGATTTTGTTCAAAATTTAATGAGGTCTAAGTTATATAATGAAACTGGTCCCATGTCAATATCACTCTTTGTTCTCGAGATTTACGATACACGAACATCCTCCTAAAAACCATACTATTTGACTCTAAAGAACTTGAAACGTGGAGATATGTTAAAATTTCCAATTTGCAAAATCGGCCCATTACAATAACTTCCCACTGGGAATGATTTCTTATATTTACGCGAACACTATACATTGATTAAAACTACTTTTACGGATTTTATCGCGTTTTATTTATATTAATTTTAATATCCGACATTTCGGGTGCTTTCCAGCACCCATGGTCATGGGGGACTGAGGTGACTGACCGATGTCAAAGTTAACCCGGAGTACCTTCAGCTTTTTAATTATTGAAATATATTTTTAGTCAATGTGTAGTGTTCGCGTAAATATAAGACATCATTATTTTTTAAATTATTGTTTTTGGTCCGATCTACGCAGAATTAACTAACTGTATTTGAAGTCTTGCAGTGGTATGCTTGGGTTTAGTTTTAATTTTATTAATTATAGGATCCCAAGCAGGTGGTAGTACCCAGCCTCCTTCTCTATTGAAATTAGGATGTTTTTTAATTTCAATAGCCTCACGTATCATCCTTGGTAGGAATCGATGTTCTTTCGTGAGGATTTGTGGTCTATCAAATCTGATGTAATGGTTGGGGCCATCTAGAATATGATCGCAAACTGCAGACTTCCCGGAGCGTTGATGCTTCACGTCAGCTATGTGTTCTTTTACGTGGGTTCTAATTGATCTCTTTGTTTGCCCTATATATGAGAGACCACGAGTTAACTTTGACATCAGGACGTCAGTCACCTCAGTCCCCCGTGACCATGGGTGCTGGAAAGCACCCGAAACGTCGGGTATTAAAATTAATATAAATAAAACGCGATAAAATCCGTAAAAGTACCATTGGGAAGTTAAAAAGCGATGATCCCTAGAGCCCTACTCTTATTTTATGTTGTTAGTTTACCAAGATGTAAAATCGATCTGATACGGCACATTAAAGCCCACTGTTAAACATAAGCCTCCATAGATTGTCATATATGGGGATATTTGCCATAGTTGCTACGTTTGGCAAGGGTTTTATTATTCGTTATTTATTACACGTTCGATACGTGGTAGAGACCTGTTGCAGTTATTTTAGTAGTATAGTTGTAGCACGAATGGGTCGGCTCGACCGGGGAAGGATCACGCTCGCACATAATACCAGCGTAAAATAGTAGCTTAATGCTGCTGTGTTTCTTATGGTGAGTGTCTCTACACTCTTTTTACTGAAAACGAGGCATTCCATCTTAGTTCTCACGGGTGACGCATCTGCAATTTGAATCGTAATCGAGGATAGATGTAGATGTTTACGTGCCACAGCAACCACTTACCTTACACCACAGAAATCTAATTATCTTATTATTTAGAGTTCTGTGCCTTACACAGATGATCAAGTCATATTTACGTCGTCGGCGGCTGAGGTGCAAATGTTGGTTACATTAATGAATTGGGCATTAGAAGAAAGGGGAATGAAAGTAAACGTAAGGAAGACGAAAGTGATGGTTTTTGAAAGAGGAGAAAGTAAAACGTTATGTGAAATAAGAATAGAAGGGGAGTTGAAAGAGTAAGTTGATAAGTTCGTGTATTTGGGATGTGTATTAAGCAGGGATGGTAGATGTGATAAGGATATAAAACGACAAGTGAATGCAGGAAATAGAGTGAATAGGGCACTACACTCTATTATGAAGAATCAGAATTTGTAAAAAAAGGCACGTATGGTAATTCATAATGCTGTACTTATCCCTACTTTAATGAATGTTAGTGAAAGTTGGGTATGGCTGAAGAAGCACGAAAGTAGAATAAATGTTGTAGAAATGCGGTCTTTAAGGAGTATGCTAGGATTAAATCTGAATGAG